CCATTATAGCATGTTTATATGTTTTAGAATAAAACTGTGGTAGATGTGGTTCAAGTGACAATAAAAAATCTTACCTGTGCTGGAGGATGCTTGTGGAATGCAGTTTTGCTCATCAGTATTATCTCCACATTGGTCAATTCCATCACACATCCAGTCAGGATGCATACACATCTTGTTATCACATGTAGCATTACATACTAGAATGTAAGAAGATGTATGATTGGGTAAAAGTGTATCACATGATTAGGTGATATTACAAACTTGAATGTGAAAAGATATATGATTGGGTAAAAGTGTATCACATGATTAGGTGATATTACAAACTTGAATGTGAAAAGATATATGATTGGGTAAAAGTGTATCACATGATTAGGTGACATCACAAATAATTACCATAAGAGCTGTAACTGAATTTTACAGGAAAACCCTCTTTGACTTTCTCAGTTGACTCAAAGACATACTGTACCCACAGATAGTTATGTCTAGAAAGTAGTGTCAATTCCTTCGCATTGCTGGTGGTAGTATTAGCAATCAGATCTGATCTCTGTGATGGGCCATCACGAATCATAATATAGTTACTGTGGGAAATAACATAGTGAAATTATGGAACACTTAAATATGTACTTATTCTGTAACACAAGCAAATATATTTGATGGTATGGAGAGGTAGCTATTCAGGGTGCCAGCTGGCTGTCTGTTTAAGTGCTAAGACAGTGTATATAAGTAAATCCATAAACCCTGTTTATAAACAGATAACAGAGTGTAGTTTATTTTCCATCACTGTTGCACAACAGTGATTGACGAGAGTTACTAACAGGGGACTTTTATTTTTTCTTCTCTGTCCTTGAGTCTAACTAATTTTTCAAGGAAATCTTGACCAAGTTAATGTCCAAGTAAGCCAAGTGTCACCTGAGAAATTATTGCCCTGATGTGAGGGCGCACTTGGCATATAATCAGTGCTATGATATTCATAGTATATCACGCAAGGAGTGGCAGGAATTTGTTCGAAACTTTGAACATTTTGAAATAACTTATTTCCGGATATAATAAATCATTGCAGTTACTTTATTAAATAATGATAAATAAAACATTGTGGAAATTAACTAGCCCTAAAAATTGTGAAATCAGCAAATAAATTTATGCTGGCAGTTTCTTGATCAGAGTGTGACATACAAATACGATCTATTACAAACTAGTTGAAACTATGCAGGAAATTTCTAAATCAAACGCCGATATTACTAGCTTTATTATTTGTTAGTTACTACTGTTCCAAAGATTTAATTACAAATTACATTGATATTTTAATAACTAAACAAAATTTCACTAAAATTTGTGATTAAAAAGTAACGAAAGTTGTAAAGAAAGTATCAAGAGTATAAGCACTAGAGTAAAAAGGAAACCAAAGCACTATTTTAGCCCATAGGTCATACATAGGTCTGTGCTGAGACAGCAATTCTCGTAATGACACACATTTTTTTAGAAAACTGATCACCGACCTCTGTGATTATCATACGAGGGCTTGGATTTTGTACAGAGAAATCTTACCCAAAAGAATACTGGAATAAAATTTAGAAGAATTTTCAGAAATGTAATAAAGAGGTCTTGACAACAACAGTGAAAATAATGTTTGATTTGATGATGATAAGACACTACAACCTCACTTCAGTACGTACTCTAACATTTCAGAATTTAATTAGTGCCAAATAATATTACACTGTATAATTTTTTATGGTGATCAAAAGCAATCATTGGCAGGGCTTCTACATAAAGGAGAGATTCGCATTTAAAAAAGATCAAAAGTGTGTGATTAGTCATAAAAATAGTCCTGCAACCACTTGTACGATATCAGCACTTTTTGAAACTAATTGAAATCTACACATTCATCATGAAAACACCAAGTCCATGATTTACAATAACCATGACAACACAGTGTTTGAAAATAACAGGTTGCAGAAATTCATAGATGACTTATAATGTTTACCTGGTCTTGTTTTTGACCTCTGCAGGTTGAAACCTCAGTGATACAATAGTTGCCATCTTTTTGGTGATTGCAGGAACCGTGATGATCCATATACACATAGTTTTTTTAGCAACGGATTTTGGATATCCAGGGGTAGAGAAGTTCCCAGAGCCATTAGTCAGATTACCGCCACAGTCTGAAATGTACACAAACTATTGATAAATGTATATATCAATATCACCTTATTTGGGAGACCCATCACAGATTGTCATGTGACCATATCCTGCTACCTAATTGGATAACAGTAAGATTAGTAGTCAAACACAAATCAACAAATTTTGGGGGTTCAGGTGAATTAACCTTTTCACCACCAGACTTTCTCGCCCAAATTTGTCCGCACTTTTTTCTTATATTTTTCAATATTTCTGGAAATATGGAGCCAACAGACAAAGTTTGGGTAAATTCTCAATTTTTATAAAAAAAAAAATTAGACTATTTTTGTCCCAATCTTCTGAAGGAAAGTACAGATTATTTTGTGATGAAAAGAGGGAACTGATGGTGAAAAGGTTTCTTAATGCTATGGGAAGTGCGCCCTCACATCAGGGCAATAATTTTCCGGGATGACACCCAGCTCGGCATGCTGTGTTTTTTTAGTAAAAACTGAAAATGAACTAAAATTTGCCTGTTGGCTCCAAAATTAGGGTTCATTTTCAGAAATATTGAAGAATATAAGAAAAAAAAGTGCAGACAAATTTGGGTGAGAAAGTCTGGTGGTAAAAAGATTAAGAAGCTGAGCAAAAAACTTTCTGTTCTTTGTAAAGACTTCAATTTTCTGATCTCAACAATTGGTATTTTAACTGTGGGTGCAAAACTTATGGGACTTACCTAGTAATGTGTACTTGATATTGAACCCTTGGTTATCAGTCAAGTCTGTAATGTTGGACAACACGCTGCTGAACGTCACGTCCACTGTGCTACCATTGAGTACTAGATCGTTTGGCAGGACACTACCAGTGTAGTTAGCAATCACAGTTGAGGTGGTACCATTGCTTACTATAACCCGGCTGTAATGTTTCTCATGCAATTTGAAGGTGTCGTAGTAAAGGTGAATCAGTTTACCGTTCGGCACAGTTAAATTGTTTGTACAGTTAGCATTCAAGGGATAGTTCTTTGGAAAGTTACGTGATTGCAGTTCACCGCTGCTCAGTGCAGTCATTTTTCTTTGACAAGCTGTAAAAAAATGTAATACATGTATTCAAAGTGAGTCAATCCACTATACATAACATATAAACTAATGTACTGTAGAATACTTTATTTTCGCTTGGAATTTATTTTCACCATTTTCGCTGAAGGGATGATTCCGTGAAAATAAAATCCAGCAAATATACTTTTTTTCCTACATTTCACATTAAACTCATCATAAATCAGTGAAAATAAATTCCATACAAAACGCCCAAAAAGCCTTTTCAGCGAAAATAAAGTATTTCACAGTATTATCTTTTTAAACTTATCAGTACGTCAAAGTATATGCATTATTTTGCTAAAAAATAAATTATCCATTGGCAATCAAATTTACGGCAACATTTATTTTTAGTCGATTTCCAAACAATTTAATACATGTATATATTTTCATGAATGATCACTACCGGATACATAGACAGACTTTGTGAGACTCAAACATGAATAAAAAAGTGCATGGTTATTTATTGTTGAGTAATTCTCCTTAAACAATTCAGGCACCATAATTTTTCATCAATACTAATTCAAAGTTAAACTATTCAAAACTCCTGTGTGAATACAGAACATATACAATCATTCTGTTTTATAAAACAAGTGACCTGACATTCAAAATAGCTTCGCTGTCCTACAAGAACATTGCGGTACCCGAGTCAAGCAATGCACACACAGAAAACCAAAATGTTCACAGAAATTATGTGCAAATCCAATATCAAAACAATCGGACTGGCAGCATTCAAGAATAATTCAAAAATAGTCATTTTTTTTATAAAAGTAAGCATCAGAGCGATTGAGACAGTAGTTTTCAAAAAGAAGTGGAAAATGCAACTGACGGACAATAGATGGACATCAGACTGATAAATGGGTGATGGACAATCACCTATATAAACAGCTCTGCTATATCATCTACGATGACAGTGGAACTAACAAATAATAAGGATATGAAGGAGCAATGACATTATAGGTGAGGATCATCAGCCACCAGATGTTTACCAATTTGATAATAATCCATAACAATTTTTTTTAGATTGAGCTGAGTTTTTGTGGCTGAAATGAGACAATATGCAAATTAACTACTTAATATGCATGGTCATGGCTTCAAAACAATTAGCTAAAATTGAGATGTAGTTTCACAATACGGCGTAATAAAGTTATTATTATTATTATATTATCTGCACATTACCCCCAAGGTATCTATGTGCTACATTTGATCAAAATTACAGACAGACAGACAGACAGACAGACAGACAGACAGACAGACAGACAGACAGACAGACAGACAGACAGACAGACAGGCAGGCAGACAGAGGAGCTAACAATGACGTCCTCGTCTAAATTGGTATCCATGTACATGTGTACATTACAATATCTCTGAAAAAACAGAATCAAGGAAATCAAAACTTGTAGGTAACTGCCGCAAGTTGACTTGTTATGATATCAAACTATATCGCTTCTCACTTAGCAGAATCCACACTGTGCACAATCAGTAACCTAGCAAAAAGAGAACTGGTCAATTCCAGATATCAGACAACTACAGTTTTACTTACAGCCAAGTTTCGCATAGACAGCTTTAAAAATGGCATCATTTCTGTTTTTGGCAGGGTTTTGAACATACTGAACAAAAAGTGGTCCGCCTTTGGGGTCATTGGATAAAATGCCCGAACTGCTTTTTGAAGTGCCACCAGTAATCTGTGCAATTTTTGATCCATTTGTACTGAAGCCATAATACACGGTAATATTACTACCAATGTCCATGTTAATCTGGTCAAACAATACCATAGGAACAACCCCATCTGATGAGAAAATGTTTATGATTAAACGTTGAAAAAAAATGTATAAATAATTATTTATAATGGGTCTATGGTATCCATTTCTGAAAATGGTACACCAATTTGGTGAGAAAAAAGCTTCTCTGACTTGTTGCTGATATCAGTATGTCCATATAAAAGATACAATAATATATATTGAGTGCTTTAAGGGGCAGTTAAAAATCAAAGCATCTAAAGTAAATATAATCTGTTCATTTACATGTGTAGGTGTGAAGACAAAGATGATTTCAATTACTCTGCGCAGAAATTGGAGTATTTTATATAATATAATTGCTATATTTATGGGAGTTTTGAATGTTGAGAGGAGAGATTAATGCGCATATGTTTTTATTATAATGTACAACCCTGCATTATAAAGTTGTATTACTCTCTGTTCTGTTTTCTTAAGTATTTTCATAAAAAGGTCTTTTACGATGTCCTCAATATATATTCTTATTCACATTTATGATTAGATTCTGTTGAAACAGAAATGACTAGCCATTTTGTGCTATTTCCCTGCCATAGTTTGATTTCTGTAGAATACTGTACTTTATTTTCGCTTGGAATTTATTTTCACTGAAGGGATGAGTCCATGAAAATAAAATCCAGTGAATAAACTTTTTTCCCTATATTTCACATTAAACTCATCAAAAATCAGTTAAAATAAATTATATACAAAACAACCAAAAAGTCGTTTCAGCGAAAATTAATTCCAGCGATAATCAAGTATTTCACAGTATTTATTATTATTATACTTTAATAGTCAGAATGTATTAACTTATTTCAGTTATTATTTAATTTTATTGTGATATTTTGAATCTATGACAAATAAACATAATTATTATCCCAGGCTCATGATCAGTAGCTTTTGTTTTTGCTCAATGACAGTCTAGTGCAAAAAAAATCTACGAAGCGGTCCATTATCTTTGATGAGAGCAGACTAATTGTACCTTACCTCCAGAGGGATTCACCAACCATCCGCATTCTGCAGTGTTGTTCATTCTACTGGATTCCAAAGAGAAGACTCCAGCATCACTCATGAGGTTGCCATGACAACCTGTCATGAAAAATGGTAGGGAACAAAATATATTCAGAATGGGAGACATTAAAGAAACTCAAATAAACTTATTTTTATTTGTTTACAGCCTCACTGATCACTGATGTGAATGACATAATATTGACCTTTTGAGTTTAAAAGTCAAATTTTGTTGTCTTTCATAAATCAAGCCTGCACACTTTTTTCCCCAATTTAAAAAAAAAAATTTGACCAATATTTGTCGTCAATGGGAATTTAGGTTGATTCGAGTCTGAATTATAAAAGATATTGAACCACCCAAATGTTGTCGGTAAAAAATACTGCACTCAAAGGGTTGACCACTGTAATGAACACACAGTTATAAGAAGAACTGACAGTATAGTATGATAGTCTAGATTCAAGGACATGAAAATATTTCTCCACAATTAAGCTATATTGTTATCACATACAATGTAAACAATATGTACAAAGGCAATTTAAATGTGGGGGTATTTTTTCAAATATTATAAAGATATCATATACATATCATTTTAGTGCATCCTTACAACTTTATTTTTCCAATTGAAATTTTATACCGGGGTACCGGTAATACAAATTTCCAGACTACCAGGTTTTGTTGAAATCTGTTACAGCAATTCCAGGCACTGATTTGACGCTGAAGTAGTGCTAGATGTTGATAACTTACTACAATAGGTTACACACTTTGTTTTCAAATTTACAGAAGTTGTTACAAATAATGCAGACAGCATGTCTGCAATTTGAAGCGCACCGAAGAAAGCTCCGCCCATAAAAGTGGCTGTACATTAGTTTTGAATTTCTCCTCCAATAAACGATCAAGGCTCTCGACTTAGTTTCGTACTTCAATTTGCGTCACATGTTATTTCAGTGAGAGGGGCGCATAAAGTGGTGGCACTGTAAAGAACGTTATTTTACAGAACCAGCTGATCATCTGATCATGTCAGAATTATTGATCAAAGTGCATTATTCCTACTATGGAAATATACGTATCACGCCTACAACAAATGTCCTATGAAGACATCATCCACTATATCAATAATGAAATTGAATACATAGAAGGGGTGTTGTTCGATTATTAGTTCTCAACGATGAGAACCAAAAGATTGATGTGCCACCAAATAATCGCTTTAAAAAGCTTATCTATTGGCAACACACGATCACACGTCCGGGGAGGGTTTCCGCCACACACAAGTAGTTTTTGTCGAATTTCCCGTCCGTAAATGTGCGGTCGCAATGTTTTATAATATTCGACATAGTCTATAACGTTGTCAGTTTCCTGGAAGGATACTCTCGTGGTAACAAACAGTTTGACGATACTATAAAATTCAAGCTGTCTGCTTTAAAACACCATTTCGATCTCTAATCTCAGCAAATGACAGTCCACGAAAATACAAATCGACAACTCTTGTTCTCACTTCAACTGTTTTTTTGACTCCTTGCTTTTCCATCGTGGTGCTCAAACAACTTGGACAAATGCCGATTTGTGACACGCAATCAACACGATGACCGACCAAAAGTGAATGAAAGACAGACGCGCCTTAAAGTCTAGGTGTACCTGACCTTGTAGCAAAAATAGAAAACATTGTTGGCAATATCTGTCAATCATTCCTCTGATTTGTAGCCGATGTTTATATTTCTAGTTACAACTTATGTAAATTTGAAAACAATGTGTGTAACCTATTGTAGTAAGTTATCAACATCTAGCACTACTTCAGCATCAAATCAGTGCCTGGAAGTGCTGTATAAAGTGGTTATTGAAGGTTGAAGGTTGTCTAATTTATGCAAATTTGATAATAATTATTCATAGTTTCAACCCAAACCTAATCATGACTGTGACTCATCCTAGGCCACCAAGTTTTGTAGAAATCTGTCAAGTGGTTCTTGAGATATCAGAAGGTTGTCTAATTTATGCAAATTTGATAATTATTATTCATAGTTTCAACCCAAACCTAATCATGACTGTGGCTCATCCCAGGCCACCAAGTTTTGTAGAAATCTGTCAAGTGGTTCTTGAGATATCAGAAGGTTGTCTAATTTATGCAAATTTGATAACTGTTATTCATAGTTTCAACCCAAACCTAATAAACATAACAATAGCTTATCCCAGATGTACCAAGGTTCATTGAAGTTTGAACCTGAGTGTTTATTTAGATATCAGAAAATTAACATGTGAGAGTCAAAATAAATTGGAAGGATCTAAAAAAATTATATCAAAAAAAAAATATCACATTTCTTGAACTAATTATTTGATCACGCATAAATTGTGTACAAACCTGCCTGCACAGCACTGAAATTCCCAGAAAAGAAATCATGATTTTTAAATCCCTCTACAACCAAGAGAAGGTATTGACCGCTGGAAAACACCGGATAGCATCCAGAATCAAAGACAGTTATTACAGGTGCTGCTTCACTGTCACCGTCATAAAATGTCATTCGTGCACTGTTGTTCAATCTACAAATGCCAAAGGTCAGTTGCACTTGGTCAGTACTGACGGTCGTGTAATCGCTGCTTGCGGAAAATCTGTAATACTGCTTGTCAACATCAGTTGTAGCATTAAGAGCAAAATTCGTAACGAAGTCTGTGAGAAACTGCTTCCCATAATCTACAAGATAAAGTTAAACATTATATCATTGACAGCCAAACACTAAAAATTCAAATAGTTCCACCACACCACTCACATGCAAGGCCAATTAATTTTACCCATGTGTCCATTTATATATTGAAATGAAATCAAAATTGAGACAAACTTTTGGTATTCATCATTGTTCTAGACATGAACAGGGTATTGTAGTCAAACTACCGAAATGTGCTTCAATTTAATTATGAGATTTCAACACAATTCCAATTTCTCTTTTATTGGCATATCTTTCAGGGTTTCCTGGTCTTCTAAAATTAGTTAAAGATTACAACAATTACTGGTATAAGCTACCATCATTGTAGGTTTGGTAAGCTTATAAATAGTCGGTTAAAATTGTTTAAATTCGTAACTGTTGGTCACTTCGATCGTTGCATGCATGAATAAAACCGTGTCTAACTGTACAATGGAATTAAATCCCCACTCACACTCACACACTCACACACTAACACTCACACTCACACTCACACTCACACTCACACTCACACTCACACACTAACACTCACACTCACACTCACACACTAACACTCACGCTCACACTCACACTCACACTCACACACTAACACTCACACGCTCACGCTCACGCTCACGCTCACACTCACACTCACACTCACACTCACACTCACACTCATACTCATACTCATACTCATACTC